ATGTTTAGTAAAATTGTACTTTTCATGCTCAAGGCCTACAGCTACTACTATGCTTACCTTTATTTATGAACTTCTTGTAACGAAGTATAACTATATAGTACGCTCATATATGCACTACTTTGTAAAACTGTTTATGCCGTTTACCTGTTTGTACCATCGCTGAACTAAGTTACCATCACAGTGTTGTAGATATTCTGTGTAACGTATAATATAATGTATAATGTTCATATGTGTTTCTGGAAATAAAGGATGTTATAAAATATAAAAACTGTAAGCACGTATATATATGTTTTATATGTAAATTACATTCCATTGCAGGACAGGCGAAACTGCCAAAATGTCGCCACAACGAAAGCTGCTTATCACGGATTATGTTATACTGTATGTCACACGACATCTGTTTATCTGCACTCGCAGCCGTGGCGCGGGTCAGAGCCCACTACTAATTTGTGAGTTGCAAATCCCTGCCGAACTCCGCCAACAGGGTGGAACAAAGTGAGATACACTCCTGATATTATCAGGAGTGTATCAATGATACACTCATTGATACACATGATTGATACACTCCTGATATTATTATACAAGTATGACTAGTCGAGATTATGATTAATCCTTGTTAGTGATTTTTTGCTCATGGTTATACATCAATGGGATTTGTTTCATTATTAAGATGCGAAGTAGCTGATATATTATGTAAGGGTGTCCTCATGCTGGCCCTTTTGTCCTTAACACAGTATATGTTTACAATGAGCATACGTACACAGTTGTAATAACTTTCGTTTGTTTCATGTATGAAAAATTTGCTGTTTTATTTGTCCCAAAGCGACCAAAGATTTTGAATAAATAGTTTGGTTCAGTCATATTTTACTGCATGAACGAAAGGTGCTTTCGCTGAAAAATTTTGCACTGCCACGGTGCATTGAGCAAAAATGTTTTTACTCGATCCGTCAGACTGTGTCGTCAGGAAATGTCTAAAATCGGCTATATACCGATTATCAAGAGCATTTTTGTCAAGCCGTTTATATTTGTACCACAATTCCGCATTTCCTCCCTGAAATTAATCTCCACACTAGGGCGTAAAGTTAGATCTCATCTGTTATGTTCAAACAGTTAAGTTTTGAAAAATTGAATAGACTATGTCGATTATACTTACCCTTGGCGAAAGCATGCTAAATTCCCGTGGGCGCGGCATGTATGGAGCGTACGCAAAATAACGCATTAGGCAGGCAAATTGGCATTTTTCATCTGTCCTCCAACCTCTATAAATGTTCAAAGCGCTTACGTTATAGACCGCAAGGCGGCAAACGTTTCAATATTTAAGCCGTAGCGTCCGCGTGGGGCAATGCGAATATGCATCTTGCATACACTGACGATTTTATGAAGACAAGTTGGCGTTTTCTTTCTTTTTACATTCCTTGCTATATAAGTTCAAAGCCTTTACGTTATCGACCGCGAAGCGGCAAAAA